TTTCTGTTTTTGGTGGTGGTGAGCTTGTATCAGAGGTGAAACTTGGAAATTACAGAGGGATTACTAAAAGGGTCACCTCAAATCATGCTGAATGGGACCAAGTTTTTGCCTTTTCCAAAGATTGTGTTCAGTCCTCTGTGGTGGAAGTTTTTGTGAAGGAAAATAACAAAGACGAGTACTTGGGCCGTGTTTGGTTTGATCTCAATGAGGTCCCTAAACGAGCTCCTCCGGATAGTCAGTTGGCTCCACAGTGGTATAGAATGGAAGACAAGAAAGGCGACAAGTCTAAAGGTGGTGAAGTTATGGTTGCCATTTGGTTTGGAACTCAAGCTGATGAAGCCTTTGCTGAGGCTTGGCATTCTAAAGCAGCAAATGTGCATTTTGATGGTTTGTGTTCTATCAAGTCCAAAGTGTATCTGTCACCTAAGCTTTGGTATTTACGAGTTGGGGTCATTGAAGCTCAAGATATTGTTATGGGGGAGAAAGGGTCATCATTGATGAGATACCCTGAGCTTTTCGCCAAAGTTCAAGTTGGGAACCAGGTTTTGAGGACTAGAGTTTCTCCACCTGCTGCTACTAGAAGCCTTTCAAATCCTTTCTGGAATGAGGACTTAATGTTTGTGGTTGCAGAGCCATTTGAAGACTTCTTGCTTGTTTCGATCGAGGATAGAATTGCTCCCAACAGAGAGGAAGTCGTGGGGAGAGTTCTATTGCCTGTTTCAAGCCTAGAAAGGCGACTAAACGAGAAGCCAGTGACTTCAAGGTGGTTCAATCTTGACACTCATTTGGGCAACCCGAATGATCCCAAAGCTGTGGTTAGATTTGCCTCGCGGATTCACCTCCGAGCCTCTCTTGACGGGGGTTACCATGTGCTCGATGAGGCCACAATGTATAGCAGTGATGTTAGGCCAACAGCAAAGCAGCTGTGGAAGCCTCACATTGGAGTTCTTGAGGTTGGGGTTTTGGGAGCCACCAATCTTGTGCCAATGAAAATGAAAGAAGGCAAGGGTGGCTCTACGGACGCGTATTGTGTGGCAAAGTATGGGCAGAAATGGGTCCGAACAAGGACTGTGGTGGACAGCTTATCTCCCAAGTGGAATGAGCAATATACTTGGGAAGTCTTTGACCCTTGCACTGTCATCACTATTGGGGTGTTTGATAATTCTCGTGTAGACAAGAATATGGCTAACACTATGGCGGGAAACCGGGACTCTCGAATTGGAAAGGTTAGGATCAGGCTATCAACTCTTGAATCAGATAAAGTTTATACTCATGCATATCCACTCTTGATGCTGCATCCTTCTGGGGTGAAAAAAATGGGGGAGCTTCATTTGGCTGTAAGGTTTTCTTGTGCTAATATGGTAAATGTGCTTCATATGTACACGATGCCATTGCTTCCGAAGATGCATTATGTTCAACCTTTGTCTGTAATTCAGTTAGACACCTTGAGGCACCAGGCTATGAATGTGGTGGCAGCTAGGCTTAGTCGATCTGAGCCGCCTTTGGGGAGAGAAGTGGTGGAGTACATGCTTGATCATGACTCTCATATGTGGAGCATGAGAAAGAGCAAAGCAAATTTCTTTAGGCTGACAAATGTGGTTTCTTGGTTTGTTATTATGAGCAGGTTGCTTGAGTCCGCGCGCAATTGGCATAAGCCAGTGTACTCAGCATTAGTGCTGATTGCGTTTATCATTCTCGTATTGGTGCCCGAGCTCATTATCCCTTGTATTTTATTCACCTTGGCTGCGGTAGGACTATGGCGTTATAGGTCCCGCCCACGCCACCCTCCCCATATGGATACTCGACTCTCGTATGCAGAGAGCGTTTATCCTGATGAACTAGACGAGGAATTTGATTCGTTCCCGACAAGTAGAAGTGCAGAAATCGTTCGAATGAGATACGATAGACTGAGAAGCGTGGCCGGAAGGATTCAAACTGTGGTTGGAGATATGGCAACTCAAGGGGAGAGATTTCAGGCATTGTTAAGCTGGAGGGATCCAAGAGCAACATTCTTGTTTGTAATATTTTGCTTCTTTGCTGCATTTGGGTTCTATTTGGTGCCAGTCAAATGGGTGGTGGCTCTTTGGGGTTTGTATTATTTGAGACCACCTAAGTTCAGAAACAGGTTGCCATCTAGTGCTGTTTGTTTCTTGAAGAGGCTGCCAACCAGGGCAGATAGCATGTTGTAATATCTTAGTCATTGGTGGGGAGTTAGACATGTATTTTATGAACTGTAGGATCAGAATTTTATCAAGAGTAGGATTTGGGTTTTCTATTTTGGATTTCAGATGTAGACTTGCCCTGACCTTTTGCTGTACTAGTTTGTTTGTTCTATCATTGTAATATATCTGGGGTACTTTCTATTCTCTTTTTGTTGCATTGTAGTACATACACTGATCTATATCTATATCTATATTTATATCTATCTATCTATACTAATTTAAAAGTGGGAAGCTCTAAATTAGAAAGTTGAAAGACTAAGATATTCTTTTAGTAATGTAGTTTTATATCTAATAACATTAATAATTAAATAAAATACTAAATAATATTGGAAAAGATGTCATCTATTTCTAAAGGACGCATCTTCCATTAAAAGATGTGGTAGTTATTTTTTTTCATTCCCTATAAATATTAAATTATTATGCAATTTCCAGCACTTGAAAAATTTAATTCAAACGATCAAAAAGTTTACAGCACTTATAAGTTTGGAACAATCATATCTGTTCCAACTACTATATGATGAACCGATGTTAATTCAAGTATTAAGAAGACAGGCGAATATAGCATTACATGGGGTTGTCACCGATCTTGCTATATGCACTCAGTGTTTGTCGATGGACTTGGAAAATATGCCCACGCTAAAGCTAGGTAGAAAATACTAACACTGAAGATTAAATTGAGACTTATTTTTCAGTCGAAGAGACTCGCGCAAAGCAAGATATATTTCGAATCATCATGAGTTTATTTAACTAGATGAATTACCGTTCGATTGTCAATTGTTTTATCTTTTCATAAACATACTATTAATTTATTCGGCAAGGTAACTATTATTTAATTCAATGAAATTTTTAACAAGTAACCAAGATTATTGTGCTGCTGAAAAGTAGTGTGGTTAAAAATTTGTTTTAACCTCACAATACTATTCCAAATAAGATAATAATCATATGGGAACTCAAGTTTGTTCTTCATAAAACATACTTAAAAATTATGCGCTCTTATCAGTAAATATGTGATATTTTCTATCTATCTATCTATTTATATATATATATATATATATTTTTATTTTTATTTTTTATTTTTTTTTGGAATCTCAGGAAAACTCGGAGCCACTACAGCCTTTGCCTTTCGGGTGAGTACTCTGTGCACATTGGGTAATCCCCCCTCCCCCCCTCCCCCGGGGATGGCCTAGTTGGTTTGGAGGGCAGTCATCCATACAGATGACCTGGGATCGATCCTCCCTCAATACCTTCTAGGTCGAGCCTGTCGCACAAGGCTTGTCAGTGCGGTTTATATCCCCTGTGTGATTTGCAAGCTATTACACAATGGACCTGCACATCCAGCTAGAGGTGAAGGGACATACGGGTAGAGGGCGCCCTAGAGGGGGGATCGATCCCAGATCATCTGTATTATTTTTGATGTATTGATCATAAGATAATAATAATAATTGATCATATATTTTATATATGATCATAAGATAATAATAATATATTTTATATTCATTAGAAATAGATATAATTTTTGTTATTGTTGCTATAACTGGTGAAATTTTAGATTTACCATACCATGATGCCATAATTGTAATATTCCTTGTATATTAAAAATATTGTGCTATCTTCTCAGAGCTACGAAGGCTTGCGACATTTAAGCTAGCATTTTCAAATTCACTAAAAAGGTGTAAACACCATATACTGAAGGGGTGAAATACTAATGTAATCAGTGTGAATATAAATCAATACAATATTCTATTCTTGTTGAGCTGTTTTTCTATATTTGTTTTATGGGTTTATTCTTCTATTAACTTAGTTAAATGTGATCAACATTTATTATTTTCAAGATCACATACTTTTTTCTTTAATTATTTTTTTTACTCACACATATTCTTAAAAGATATATACATGATAATACGCGCAACGCACGTACAGATAGACTAGTGTTAAAATAGTGGTTATGACGTTTGCTGCATTTTTATATTACTAAGCTAAAGATCAATATAGAAAATTACTTGTAGTTGTAGGTAATCTTAGCATGATAGAGTAAAATTGTGTACCAGAAGTTAAACTCCTCTAGGATACCTTAGTTCCTTACTCTAATGCTACTGTGTTTCATCAAATTCTTATGGTTTTGCTCTGATAATGTCTACAGATTCATTAAATGTGTAGACTGGCTTTGCCATAACTATGAAGTAGTGTTCATAAGAAACCAACCAATTCGATTTTTTTTGTTGATAATATGACATGATTGACTGAACACTAAATTTAAAATGTTTAACATATCACTACTAGTACATCATATGGAAATAGTAAAAAAGTATTATTAATTCATTAATCAAAAGTAAATTTGGGTATGAAGTTTAAAAAAATATTAATTCATTAATCGAAAAGAGAAATTAAATAGTTGAAAATAAGGTTGATGGAGAATAGTAGTACTAGTAGTATTTTTTTGTTATTATAATGAAAATGCTATTATAGATGAGATATATTATAACATAATATAAAAATCGATTTTAAAAATAACTTACTTTTATAGTGAATGATTGTTATATAGAGATGTTATAAAAAAGTTCTGACTCTAAGTACTTTTTAGAAATACAGTTTGGATTCCTTTGTCATACCTTCTTTATACTTTTGGTCCTTCAATTCTTCTACCTAGTGCATTGATTTGTAAAACTTACAGATTATGTTAAAGAATAAAGAAAACTTTTATAACTAGTCTCCAATTTATGATCTTTCACCTATGAAATTTCTTTTAGCAATTTATTGGATAAAATGAGGAACTATGACTCACAAGAACAAACAAATCCATCAGACATTTGAAGAAACTCGAGCAGCTAGTAACATCGAATTATACACATAGAAAGGACATTTTAGCCTTTGCCATAAAATTTCAGGGTAGATGCTGTAAGAAAAGAAGCAGAATGTCAGTCCACAGAAACCCTGTTAAAAACACAATAAGAAAAAGCCCAAGTCGATGACCAGTTTTGCTTCCATTTTCTACAACAGTAGAACCATGGCGGCCATCCCTTGGGCTCTCTAGACTAAAAAAGGTGTCAAGCGAGGGTCTGTGTAATGCGGAAGGCCAGCTCTAGCTCCCAAGGCTCTGCATTTAATAGCTGCCTGCAATCCACCCACAAATCAAAGGTTAGTCTTTCCTGACATTTGTTGCCTCAGTTACATCTCCAGACTCTCGGGGTAAGGGAAGGAAAAGAGAAGTCTCCGGCTAACCATGGGGTTCGGAGAAGAGCCGGACCACATTGGGTCTATCATGTGCAACCTTTGCTTGCATTTCTGCAAAAGGTTGTTTCCACGGCTTGAACTGACTTCCTAGGCTAATGGAGGAAAGGAACCAAAAGGGGAAGAAAACTAGTCCAGAGAAACAAGATTTCTAACCACTTGAGCAGCAAATGGCAACATTTTCTCTGGTGGCATGTTGGCACAGATAGCTGCAAGATATAGTATAGGAGTCATGAGATGAGACTTCAATAAGAGAGCAAATGGAAATGGATGCGCGCAAACATAAAGAGACCAAGATGGTGAGATCTTTAACAAGACACTAAAGGAACCCCTAACACATTGAATCTAACTTCAAGAAGAAAGGAGATCAATAGAAGTGAGGGACATCCAACCCCTCATAATATTTCAGACAGCGTGTAGGAAGGCCATGGAATCACAGTAAAAGGGACAACACCGAAATAGATTATGTTGGATAAATACATACAATAAAGAACTGCACCAATGAATGCATCTCCAGCACCAGTTGTATCAACTAGTTCTGTCTGAGGTATACTTTCAGCTGTCCCCACAAGTAACTTGCCGCTGATTGTCCCTATCCCTTTTGCATGTAGCTTTGCCACATTCTGCAGCCATAAAAACACATAATCTGAAGCTAATACACCATAATCATATCTACATGCAAGTGAAATCTTAAATAGCAAAACAGCAGATAAACAAAATTCTAATTAGCAGTTTCATTTGCACAAGAAGCACCTGACTGCATTCAACGTTGACTGAAAAGTCAAAGAGCATACAGTCTTAAGGGTTGAGAAATCCAAACAAGAAATGTAGGAGGGGGGCATCTTTAATACATGTTAAAAAGGCTAGTTTGAAAGGTAAGTAAAAGGAAATAGAAGTGCCGATACTTTCTTTAGCCAAGAAGAAATACAGATAATACCATGGTTTAGAATAAAGACTATCATAACAGAGGTTATCAATGAGCCCAAGAGGCCAGAAGTTAACTGTAAAATAAGGTTCCATGTGCCTACTTTTGCATGATTCCTCCATAACTGCTTGTTTTACAGAAAACGATGAACAGGTAAATACCGAGGATATGCATGCTGGCGATGTTGCATTAGTGTCTTTTTTCTGATTCAGCTTTTCGAACAAATCGTCGACATCCCTTTCTTCCGGGTCAAGATTGTCTGCAAAAGCATTGAAGTCTCTGTAGGATGCAGAAAATACAAAAATATTTGCAGTCTTTAGTTGATAAAAAAGAGAAGGAAAAAAAAGTATGCAAATACCCATTTCTGTCCTTTGTAGCATTAAGCAACCATCTTCACCCAATGTCACAATAACAAATTTAACTTTTGGCAATCTTAAGAGCATGGAAAGAAGGGCGCTTGGAATAGAAGAAGCCTCAGTCCATTCCTGCAAGTCAATCAATATACAGTTTCCTTATCAGAGCATCACAAAAAGAACTGATGTGAATGAAAATAGCTCAAAACTTGCTTGTAATTGAGAACGGTTAAGATGCTGTGTGACATACAATTTTCAGCCAGTATGGCCCTTTCTATATCATAAAACCAAATGTGTGAACACTACCCCCAACATAAAGGTTATTGCCGTGAGACACTTGCAGTTGCAGTAGTCTAAATTTTTGTCACCTACATAGAACCAAATTCTCATCTCATTCAGAAGTTGGAAAGACTTTATATTGAAAGAGTTGAGCTACGGCTAACTGCAGTCTCGCCTAAAAACCCTGGTCAAGAGCAGACTACAGAGGACATGCTTGACCAAGTTCCAACCACAAAGGAAGTAGAGGCATCTAATGGAGTGAGGTGTCACAAGCTGAAATCTCTTAGATAGCTCATCACAGCCTTACTGCCATTATTACCATAAAAAAGCAAAGACCTTTTCAGCTTCATTCGTTTTGCATAAATGTGCTCACTAATAATTACTCCCTTCCCCACATGGCATCTCCATATTCATCAAAGTCTTCTCTTCATAAAGAACATGAATAATTCCCTTCCCTTTCAGGGAGCTTTTCTCTACCGTTTTTGCAGTTAATTTTCAAGAATTTCTTCTCTAGCTCCTTCATACTTTCTTTAAGAGTTCCCGTGTACTTTCTTAAACTATGCCTATATGAGCTTCACAAAAGCATGACCATTCTCAAGCTACATAAAGGAGGCTCGCTTCCAGAGTCTTGTGTGATAAGAATCGTGTGGAATGGGCCGCTGAGACTTAAAGGTAAGTTCTACAAGGTAGTAGTTAAACCAACTATGATGTATGGAGCAGAGTGTTAGCCTATCAAGAACTCTCAGGACTAAGATGAAAGTAGCTGAGATGAGGATGTTATGGTGGATGTGTGGGCATACCAGGTTAGGTAAGATTAGGAATGAAGTTATTTGGGATAAGGTGGGAGTGGCCCTTGAGGAGGATAAGATGCGGGAGGCGAGGTTGGGATGATCCGGGCATGTTAAGAGGAGAAGCCCCAATTAGAAGGTGCGAAAGGTTAGTCTTAGTGGGTATCAGGAGGGGTAGAGGTAGGCCTAAGAAGTCTTGGGGAGAGGCGATTAGGAGGGACATGCGCAGCTAGAGCTGACCGAGGACATGGCCCTAGATAGGAGGGTGTAAAGGTCGAAGATTAAGGTAGAAGGCTAGTAGGTAGTCGACTGTTTCTCTTTGTCTTACTCAATTCGCTAGCATTAGTGTTAGTATAATATCCTTTTATTCATAGATTGCTACTATTACTTAGAGTAACGAGGAACTACAGGAAACTATCCCAATCTAAAATTATTCTCTATGAAGATTAGTGATTGTCCAACTCATTCAAAGGCAGGGAACCGGCTAGAAGCAGGACAAGAGATGTTCACAGACTTCCATACATATGCTTGCAGCCAAAAAACTAGACAGATTTAGTTTATAAGAGTGAATATCTTGCCTGAGGAAATTTGGTTGAGCAAACAACATAGCTTGCGAAGCTCAAAAGGTGATCTAATCCTTCTCTTTTCCTCTCAGCATCAATTAAAATGGGTATACCCCTTCTATTTGCCTGCACTGGAAATCCAAAAGCATGCAGTTCATTTCCATTTTAAATGTATTGGATTCAGGAATAGTGTTGAGAACTCAGAAAGCTTGATGGAGAGAGAAGTGAGAGGAAAATACCTCCTCTGCTACAACAGCAGCAGTTTCATGCAATCTCCCGTCGAAATAGACAAGCTTAGCACCATCCAATGATGAGAACAAATTTGATTGGGAAAGATCAGTAGGTATCATGGGTGGATATCCAGGGGTGTGAATGCAAGTGCGAGTCTTCCTGAAACATCAAACACAAGTAGTTCTTCAATAGAAAGGCAACCTGTTTTCCTACAATTAGTGCTAGAACCTCCCCAGTAAAATTCAATCAGCATGCAAGCTGCCAAGAAAAATGATCAACTATGCGATACAAACTAGTTGGGATTAAGATTCATTGATGCTGTGTCTGTGATTTGCCTGAAGTTCTCGGTTCGGGTAGAGACTTGTATGGCGGTATAGGAGGGAAATGTGAGATATAGAGAGCATCTAATATTAGAAAACCCCTAATTTGCCGTTAAAAACAAATTGTTAACCAATAATGAAGTTAAATCTGTCAAAATAGAGCAGAAGCAGAATGGAAAATTCATAACCAAGCCCAATAAGCGTGATTGAGGAACAGTTCATTGATTGGTTGATATACAAGCTGCAAAGATGCTGCAGTAAGCAGTATCCAAGACACGCCAGTCTCCATCTTTAAACATGTTAAACTTTTGATGTAATTTCAACCCAGTATCTCAATAGAGAAGATTTACTGACCAGAAACTGACTAAGGGAACTAAACATCAGAGTCAACGCAGTTAGAACAAGTTAGAGCACAGCATATTTTCATTATTTATCTATTGAATTTTGGTTTAGATGGGCATGTTAGGGCGCTGTTTGACTTCTGATAAGTACTCAGAGACTTGAAATTTAGTTTGATTCTTCAATGGCACAGCGCTAAAATTTGCAGCTGCCACCCAGCAAAAAGTATATCATAGAATTTTTTTGACATAGAAATTAAAAGAAAACATTAGACAGGACTCAAGTCACAACTAACATTTGGACATAAACTTCAGCGCTGCAAATTCATGTCAGGAAAATTACTTCGCAATCGTAACTAATCACTATCAACAGTCTGTAAATGGCTGAAAACAGAACAAAAGGCACTCACGTTTGGTTGTCAACAATGATGTAGGTAAATGGTGAATTGCCCCCATCAGACACCTGGAATTAAAAAACATATGGTATAAGTAATTAAATACTTCTCTTAGAGGTGAGTATATGGCAATAAGCCTGACGACAGAAAAAGGAAGAATCACAATTTCACTGTTGAAAAAGGTACAGGAAAACCACCATTTCCATTATATAAACAAACTACAAAAACACAGAAAGATCTTCTAGTTATCATTTTTCTAGCACTAGAAGCACTGAAGGTCTGGATGGCTCACCACGATAAAAGACGAATCTACACCATCAGCTTCTAGTTCCTCCAGTATCCCCTTTCCTTGAGAGTCATTAGAAACCTAAGAAAACAACTAGGAATTAGGAGATAAAGGTGAAGATTTTTAGGACATTAATTCAAAAGGTTATAGAAGTTACAAATTGAAAAGGAAATTAATAAAGCCAGAGGAAAGATTGATGGATGCTACTGCTTGAAGACTGTTTCTAGCAATCCAACATGATGAAAGGCATTACCATTGGGTTGGTAGGTTGAGAGACTAGTTATGCAAGGACTACAATAAATGGATTGTTATTACCAAAGCCTATCATGAAAATGCTAATACACGTACATCCTGTATAAAATAAGACAGCAATTTCCTCATAAGTTATATAGGTCTTACAGGCCCCAGGGCTTTGGTTCAACGGTAAAGATGGAACATGGAATTTTTGAAGGAAAAAGAGAAACACTCATAGCCTTAAACAGAGATGTATTTTTTTTGTTAGCTTTTTGGTGCAATCTGGTTATTGTACATAATGTAGATGCTATGCTAGACATAATAGGGATTGCATAACCTGTAATTATGCCTAACGATCTGGCTTAGTGCAAGTATTATAAAATCTTTTATTACCTACCAAAAAAAACATAACATGGAATGAGTGGATAGGGCGAACGACATGATTTCGAACCCTGCCACCGACACGACGCTGGTATTTAAGTGGGAGCAAGTTAGAGGGCTTGCATTAGGATAGGTTGTCTATATCACACCCATTGGGGTGTGGCCCTTCCCCGGACCCTGCGTGAACGCGGATGCCTTGTGTATCGGCCTACCGGGCTGCCCCAAGTTAGAGGGCTAGGTCCATTCTCCCCAGAATTCCGAACCAAGGGATTTCTTGGTTACAGGAGTTATATAAGGTATTATATTATCAAAAAAAAAGAGTTATGCAGGTATTAACTATAGGTAGTTTTCCAATAGAAATAAAAAATTGTATTGGTGGAGTTATCTTAATAATGTATAGTTTTAAGCAGGAAATCATGTCGCATTAATAATGCAGAGTTCTATGATGGGATTCTTTTTTCTTTTCTTTTTTCTTTTGTAGTACATTTAGTCAAACTACGCCATATAAATACATTTTTTTCTTCTTATACAGATAATCAACCGAGTAGAGGATGCATAAAGAGTTGAATTTCATAGTAGAGAGAGACCTTTGAAATAACTCTAGGAGTTAGGCCAAGGCGAGCTGCACAAGTCAAAGCATTCCCAGTATTACCACCTCCCTGAACCTGTAATTACCAGAATAATCATTTCTCATTATGCAAAGAATTAAAAAAAAAAAACTGAGCTCAAACTTGAGCAGTAACAGTCTTTGTATAAATGTTTAAAAAGAACCTGAAAGCTAGTGCTTCGAATCTTATCATCTGGATTAGGATAAGAAGCAACAGCAGCCAAGAAGTCCACTCCCACCGACCCACAACCTAACTGTGCTCAATTTACATAACAAAATTCATCTGTTAGTATACTCACTCTAATAATAACTACAAGTCCATAAGAAGCAGAGGAAAAGGGACCCACTATGATGCGATTTTCGGGGAGCACTATCGAAGCTTGAGTCGCCGGAATTGACATTTTCACTCTGAAATTTCTGCACTACAACTGTCAGCTTATTCTGGTGAAACAGTGTATTTTTAAATAATCTTTAGGAAAAATATATTTTTAAATTAAGTCAGTATACCTAGTTGTAGTTAGCGAAGGGAAGGGAGACGGCAAAAGGGTCCTAGAATTTAGCACTGCGCCACTGCCAGTTGGAAGCAGCTGTCCTAAAGTCGCCATTTTTGAGGACCTGATATTAAGCATTAAACTGCGGAAGCGCGTGGCGTTGATCAACCGCGCGTGTCTCTAATGACGGCCAATAACATATCCACTGATGTAGATGAGAAGCGAGAGCATGGGCCTTATTTTTAGGCCTATTTTCTTGGTTTTGGACTTTAGTCATCTATTGGATTGGACCCGGGAGCATTTGCATTTCTGAGAAATAATTTATCTTCTGTAAAAACATGTTTTTATGTTTGACTGGAAAGTCAAAAATATTTTATGAAAAAAGTTGTTGAAGATTAGAAAATATGATAATTTTTTGTCAAAAATTTTAATATTAAAGATGGATAATAATATTGGTTGAAGTAATATTGGAAAAGGTTTAAGAAAATAACTTCCAGAAATGTTATTTTCCCACCTCCGTTGAGAAATATTTTGTAGCAACCAAACATCAGAATGATTTATTTATTCTTTGAAAAACACTATCCGAAACATATTTTTTCATACCGAATAAATCATAATTAACAACTGCTTGGTTAAGCATTCTTTACTCCTCAACGTCTTTCTTTAGTCAGAACTTCTCAAAGTCTATGTGAATCAAAACCTTCCATTAATCTCTGTTTTCGTGACATCAAAATGTTGTTCAAACAAAACAAAATATTCAGGGCCATATTCTCTTCACATGGAGTTCCACTTCTGAATCTGTCACTAAATTATTTGAAGAGAATTAACAACTGTGTAAGTTAACTAACATCTTTTGTGACAAGTAAACTAACAGTTTGGTTCACCTAAGAATGGCACCCATTGCCTTAAAGGAACACCAAAAATTTAAAACCATGTTATGCTCATCCGCCGAAAACTTTATTGAAAACAGAAGAGGAGACAAAGAAAGACTAAACAAGAACTTACCCAGTTAGTGAGCAAGTACTCCTCAGCATGTAGGTCGGGTACGTCTCAATTCCAAGCAAGTTCAATGAATTATAAAAGAAACAAAAAAGAAATGAAAGAAAACGTAGAAAGACTAGTAGTCCGATCCAATATTGGACTAAAGAAAAAGTTAATTTGACAACATATACAACGAGTGCCCTGTTTATCTTTCCTGTCTGTATTAAAATGAATGTAAGATTACCAAAATTAGAAGGCTTAGTCCACTCTCCCCACAGGGATATAGCGGCAATTTCAAACTCCTAATCTACACCAGAGAACCATCTTTTTTCCCAAATAGAAACGGCCTTCGGCACTGTACATTTGACAAAACACTCTAAAAAGAAGCATCATAATTGGTGCCATCCTTCCAACCATGTCTTGGAAGAAGTGCACCATGTTCACTCATACTGCCCCTTAACCTATAGAGAGCAGGTTTACTCCTTACAGTCCTCAAAGGACCAGATCTGTTACCATGGCTTATTGTTAAGCCAGCCCCTCCACCAAGATTAAAACTTGAAACTGAAAAAGGTCTGTTTTCGAACTCTTCAAGTGGACCAGAACTGTAATCCATGGTCATGAAAGTGGAGGCTTGTCCATATGTTAATCTTGGTGTAACCCCACCAGCATTCCACCAACTGCTATCGGAAGGGACACCTTTGAAATCTGAATCCGGCAGAGAAGACTCTTTCTGGCTACATCCATCAGCACAAGTTTCATCATTGTCATTATAGATTAGTTTGAGAGCTTGCACCACTTCTCCCATAAATGGCCTTTGAGTCACCTCCGGGTGCACGCACATTGAAGCAATGGCAGCCACCTTTGCCATATCATCAAAGTCATAGCTTCCAGCCAAAGAAGGATCCACTAGTTGCTCCAAACCTTCTCTAGTGGTCAGAAGAGGTCGCGCCCAAGTTACCAGGTTTTCTTCTCCAGGAGGTTGAGACATGTCCACAGGTTTTCTTCCGGAGAGAGGCTCCAATAATACAACTCCATAACTATACACATCACTTTTAACAAGTAGGTGTCCCGTCATTGCATATTCAGGAGCAACATACCTGAAAACCCATTAAATAGGGAAGGTTAGCAACTGCTTTATAGCACAAATCAGAGTTGCAAATAAGGGCAAGTATAAATTGGCTATTTGTACAAAAGAACTTAAATAAAAAATCAAAGAAAAAGAGAAACATGATATCTGTTAGGACAATAAGTGGCGAACAAATAATGATGCCCAAGAAACTAATTAAAAAAATGTAACAGCATGATTTCACAATATCTAGGAATATTGACCACAGCCTGATGCACTAGAGAACTACTGGCTAGGGCTGAGACGACCATCCTCTTAGTAGGGTGATAGAATTTAATGACAAAAGTGGTACAGTGGATAGATGTCCCTGCAAATACAGCTTCAGGAGAGGGTTTTCTTGTTTCCTTTGTTGTGAAAACTCAATTCAGACAATGTGCAGGAAATAGTGTCACACTATCTAATCACCTTCTCCAACACACACAACTTTATAACAGCACAAATTTCAACATCAGTTTCGTGAATTACACCTCCAGAAACACAGCCAAGCATCACTTGACTGAGAATTTAACAAGTTTTTTGTTAGTACTAGTAAAAACTTCCTATAGATGATCCATTTTGGAACCAATTGGAGCTTATAATAGTTATTCTTGGTATCATACTTGCGTTCACTCTTTTCTTCTTTTTTCCTGACGAGTATGCTTCACTATCGCACCACAAGTTCATTACACTCTTAGTTGAGTGAATTGCAACCTCTTCAAAATTAGTTATGTTTCAGAGATATATACCCAAAAGTTCCCATGACTCTTGTAGATATGTGGTGACTTCCTTCGGTTGCTTCCCTTGCTAACCCAAAATCTGCAACCTTGGGCGTGAAGTCATCTTCTAACAAAACATTGCTGGCTTTAAAATCACGATGAATTACACGAGGATTAGAATCTTCATGAAGGTAAGCTAGTCCTCTCGCAGCACCAAGAGCAATTTTCAACCTCACATCCCAATCAAGTGGCTCTTTTCTCCCGTCTCTTCCTGAAATATAGCAGTAGAGTTCTGTTAAGGAGAATAATCACATGATAATAGGTTCTTCTTGCACCAAGGCACAAAGACATTGTTATGCTTCTAGCTGGTAAATGGTGAAGCTTCTTGGAAATTTTTTATACTCGATTGAAAATAAGAACAATTAACTTGTTCACGTTGGCAAATTACTCTCTGTACCTATTCTTAGGGAAAATCAACCTGGAAGAACAAGAGGAAACGAAGTCCCACCAGCTTGGATAGGAGTTCTTCGCCATTGTTGTTGGGTGGGCAGCAAAGCAGACAAAAAGAAAGAACAGAAATGCAAAAACGGAAAGAAAATGGTAGCCAGGACCACAGCAGAAACTGCAGGTGCACCTTCCCCCTCCCCCCTCCCCCCTCCCCCACAAACAAAAGAAACAAGAGAAAGAAGAAAAGAAAGCCAAGGAAACTGGTCCTAGGCAGGAGGAAGGAGCTGCTGGCTTAAAACTAAAAGAAGGAAAAACAAGGATAAGGTGAATACAATGCCTTTCCAGAAGTCAAAAAAATTTGCGCAGAATGTAGTTCAAAGAGTAAAGTTAGGTGGTCCCCGGCAATCCTCCTATAGAGAAGGATTTGCTGAGTAGATCGACTAAAATGTCTCAAGAAACGTGACACTGGTATTAGCAATAGAAAGGAAACGTGTAGTCAAAAAGCACTAATGGACTTCCATAATTCTTGTGCATAGGATGACTAAGATTATTATGTGCTCTGAAATACACGATTAATATAAGTGATTTAAAGGAACTTTGAGCCTGAAAAGAACTAGTAAAACTAGTAAGAGAACAACTGAACAACGAAGGTAGAGGATTTAAAGAGAGTATACCATGCAAATGAGACTCCACACTACCGTTCCGAACAAGTTCATATACCAAGCTGCGAGTCCGCTCTTCACTGCATATACCAATTAATTTCACCAGGTTACGGTGATGCAATCGGCTTAGCATCTCAACTTCAGCAATGAATTCACGATCTCCATTTTGGTTATCCCTAGTCAGTACTTTCACGGCAACTTCTGTTCTGTCTTCTAAGATACCATGATAAACACGTCCAAATCCTCCTTCACCTAAAACCCTTTTTAAACTAAACTTGTCAGTTGCCCTCTCAAGCTCCGCAAGCGTAAATGTTTTGACAGAAAGGATAGAAGCAGGCATAGCAGAAATGAGGGAAATCGATGTTGAACTAGTCGGGCTACTTGATATTGTCGACCCAATTCCTGCAAACCAAAATATGCGTTCATTCGATCTTCATGACGTAAATAATTGAGAGGCTTAGAGAAGTCAAAAGTTTTTAATAGTACAGGTCAGTGTATAACTAATAGCAGAAGATGATAAAATCGCATGTTTTTTCTTTTACACAAACATAAAAAAAAAAAGTACTGTGGTTAAATTAAACATACATTTCAAAATTTACATCTCTGCTTCTTCACAGTAAATCCCACCTTCAAAGATCACTGATGAGTAATTTGAAACAAGGAAACAAGTACCTACCTTTACCAGATCTCTTGTGCATAGATGGTGTAAACACTGGACCAACAGCATTTGACGGTCGGCCAGTCCTCCTGCATTTTAAGAGGACAACTAGTGCACCACAGCATACCACCAACAGTACTAATGCTGATGAAGCAATGAGAAAAATGACTCGGGGACTCATTCTCTGACTCTTGTTTACAAAATCAGCAGTAATAGGGAATTGTTGATTGACAGCACTTCCAGTTGGACCATTACCAGAATCAATGCCAGATGGAGGAGAAGAAGGCAGCCCTGGAATAACTTGTTCAGGTTATATTTCACCATAACTCCATTAAGCTAAAAGGAAAATAATAATAAACACTTCATATTATACCTGGATAGATAATGTGCATCACTTCATAATCCCCAAACATCGTTCTATTGAGAGGCACCTTCTTTTTCCAAAATCTTTCATAGGTCAGCATAGCTGTGGTGTTATCGAACTTCTCCCCTAGGGGAACCAAATTAATATCAACAATTGTTCTTTCTTGATTTTGATTATCGGCACTAGCTCCAACTACAACAACTTGACTTGGATCTAGATAGGTGCCTTCTGCAACCTCAATTCCCAGATCTCTAACCACAGGAAATATAGAATAAAG